CCTATCTACTCACCATGGTATATCGACATATAATATAATATATTAGCATCAGTTTATCTACTCTTTTCTACCAATAAATGAAGTGGTTTTATTAATTAGAATATTGTGGTGGGCGTGTTGGTATATTATACGACCGAGTAAAGAGATTTTTTTCTGCATGCGCAATTAAATGTATTTAAAATTGTTGTTAATGGATATATTATATTATTTTTTTAATCCCACGAATTTAAATGATTAATTACTTGTAAACACGAACAAGACATAAAATATAATAATAAATAAGACCGTCATAAAACCTATATCATGTAAAACTAGAAATGGGTTATATTATATGAAAAAGGCAAGGAATATTAACGAGCCTTTATTTTCATTTAGTATACTGTAGGTACTCGTATATTATAAGATATACAACAAAACTTCAGTGACTTATGATTTCACGATTATTGCATCACAAACTAACCGTAACCTTATAAATTCGCGGTGAAAAAAAATCAAACACCACATTATTACAGGGCTTGATTTTATCAGGAGACCCCGGGTTGTCGTCGCAGAAACAAAAAAAAAAAAAACTAACGAAATCCGTCGAAAACGCGTCAACCACGAGAAAAACAAGACGTTGCGTATTATGATATGCCTACCGGCCCTTATAAAAAAAAAAATCCACCGCTAGCAGCTGCGCTCGTAAACGATCGTATTGTTTATGTCATTATATGTATATTATGATACATGTTCGTTCTTGCCGCCACAAGTTGTCCGTAGACGTGTTCGGACGTCGGATTCGGACAGTTTTACAATCTCTCTCTTTCGGCCGGGACGCTGTTAAGGAAAAAAAAAAACGGTCGTCCGTCAGTCGACTTTGTATATAAAACACGTAGTTCGCCCTTATTATAACGCGACACCCAACACACACACGCACACATCTATACACGCACAAGAGTGTAATACGACCACCTCGCATATTTATGTATTATATTATAAACAGCCAATAACAAATAATTACACGTACACCGCGGTCCCGCAGCACAATAATAACGGTCGTTATTAATATTAATACTATACGTCTCTTCTTCGCCGTAAACCTCAAATTATTATTATTATTATTATATATACTTGTATACCTCGATATATTATCATCACAATTTACATTACGTACTACACCCGTAAATAAAACGTGCGCAGACCAGAGCGAGATCAGTAGGAGACTACACAGGCCGCGCGTATTGTTCGCGCGGTGTAGGTATATCGCATTTTATAATAATAATAATAAATAATAATATATTATATTATATTATAATAATGGTACGACTACCGCCGACCACAGCAGTAAAAACTACTCTTCCGGACCGCGACTTATCGACTTCGACGACACGACACGACGACGGCACCCCGTCGGGCGACCGATGCCCCGCTCGTTTACCGTGGCACCCGTGAAACCGATAAAAAGGTAACAGATACACGCGGAGCTATTCGATGTCCGATCGTCGTCGGCCTAAACGCCAAACACGAATAAATCACGAACGTATAATAATAATGTGTATAATCCACCTACCATATTATGTGCGGCGGCGGCGGCTGCGTGTTGTTCGTATCGGCGCGAAATCTTGTTAAACACGCGACCCGGTGCGTTACAAAAGCGAGGGTGGCCGCGCATATTATACACACACACACACATACCAACCCTCGTACACGACAATAATAAATGATAATAATAATAATAGATATAATGTTATATGTGTATACACGTGTGGGGGTTACCTATATTATATTATATTATTATTATTATTATTATTATTATTATATTGTGTACATATATTATACGTGCGATCGCGTACAATGGAAGACGGACGGGCACGTGCTATCGCGTCCCGTGCGCCGCCGCCCGTTGTCTGTCCACGGTGGGTGGGAGGGGCGGTGAGCGGCGGATGGGGGGATGAGAGGACGAAAAACGACTCACGTGGGCGGCACGAGTCTCGGCGGCGGTGGCGGTCCGGCGCGGCGACGGACGGACGGGCGGACGTCACCCTCTCGTGTCTCCGCGTCTTAGCGCGCACACGTCGACCGGTCTCCAAAAGAAAATCGTTTTTATTATTATCATTATTGTTATTGTTATTGTTATTAATATGATTTTTTATTTATTTTTTTTTTATTTTTATTTTATTTTTTGTCGTCACTCTTTTACGTGCGAGTCAAACTCGAGACGGCGTCGGACGTGAGTCAATGTGTGTCCGCCGCTGCCACCTCCGCCGTCTTTCGGTCGATTTTTCCGCGCTTCCCGACAAAAATAATAATATTTTATGTTATAATCGATTTCGTAACGGTTTTGTGTATGCGTCTCCTTTCCGACGGCTCGCGCGCGCGAGCTATAGCGTATACCATTATGTACGTGTATATGGGCAGGACAGGACAAGTATCGACGACGACGACGATAACACCTATTGATGTTGTATGTTATTTTACACAGATGCCTGCATGCTGCCTGCGCAGTGGATAATGAAAAGAAAAAATATATCGATTAATAATAAACCTATACCTACCTACGAATTTTTTTTTTTCGATTTCATTATTTTTAAATGTGTGAACCTTAACCATACATGCTTGTAAACCACCTCTCCCCGTCATGCCGCCGTGAATCGGTTTATTCGCTAGCGCGTGTCACATTATTACCTATACACGAACGTTTCGGAATCGATATCTTATGTTTTCGATTTTTTTTTTCAAAAGCTTGGGATCGTTATAGAAAAATGGAGATGAATTTTAAATACCTTGTAAGTTAGATTAGGTAAGGTTGATTAAGTTAACACCACGTTCACACGATTACACGCTGTAATTTGTAGGTATCCGTCACCCGATAGCCGATAGTTAATGATTTATTTTTTCGATATTAATTATGAGCAATCGTTAACATTTAAATTTATCATTTAAAAACGCTGAAATAATTTGAATTGATACGAATAATTATGGAGTGCACATATAAATTAATTATCACGTGGCCGAAATTATGAAACTCTGATAATTATGATTATTCTTAGTATAATCACCGATTCCGTGTAAACATTTATAATTATAATTTTTAATTGTGGGTGGTTAAGGATAATAATATGTAAAGATATTTTGACGCACTTTGATCGTTGTTTTGAGCACGACACGTGCGACACTCGTCCTTCTCTGTAACTCAACTACGATGCTATTATTATCGTACCGTCGTCAAACCACGATAAAATCGATAGAACCAACACCGTGCAAGTGCATGTTCTCAGCAAATTATTATTATTATTATTATTACTGTACGGTTAACGACTTTGGCTTAAGAAATCAATGCATATATTATTATGTGCCAAGCGACGACAAATCGTATAACGATATACGGCAGGCCCCTTTATCGAATTTTCCGGTTGGAAATATTACAAGGAAATCCACATCCGTACACGCCGTGGATCGTTATTGTTTTTCGTGTATTGTGTGGACGACGATCATACCACTGGCTAGTCCGAATTCCGAAGTCATTCACGCATGATATATCATTATCATTATTATTTACTACGATAGGGGCCCTATCGTGTTATTTGTCGCTTACAACGCAATCTTCGAGATGGACTAGAGAAAATAATGTAATACCGCTACGAAGAATAGCGGTGGCGGCGGTAAATTTCACAGACTATTCGAATGCGAGCACGCGACATCAACCGTTGTGGATAAAATCGAATACCTATGTATTATTAAATCGCATTATAAATGCTGCCAGTGCTGTGTACAGTGCATACTGCGTACGGGTTGTTTACCGGAGCCTGTGACGCGTTCGTACGCGATATCAATATAACGTCTAATGTGTAATCGATAAAACGGTTGAGTAATGGCCAGGAAAAATAATATTCGCACGAGATTGCTTCGACATCGGTTATTTTTATAATATAATAATATACACGTTCGAACGCAGAAGAGATAAAGTCCCGAACAAAATAACTAAAGTAACTCGAAAAATACCTGTCTGTTCTACTATAGACTATGGTCGTTCTCCCGTATTTACATCCATACGTAATAGTACGTATAATATTATATTATATTAATACGCGTAAATATGTATAAATAGGCGTACCGCGTACGTTACTATTATGTACAAAACGTACTTACCTATTTCAAACATAACAAGATATGCGCGAGAGACAATTTATATACGGTCGTTGTGTCAATAAGTTATTTTTAGGCTTCGGCGTGTGGCGACTTTGATAACCGTATTCCAGTTATTCCGTACCGACGACTTGTTTGTGTGGGAGGGGTGTGCAACATTGGCGCAACTAGTGGTTGGGTAATGTATGGTGCGTGTATGCGTTTGCCGAGGGGGGTGGTGGTGGACGGTTCGGTGGTCTTTATCTCTTGGAACACTGATATTCGGCTCCAAACGATTTGTTTGTTCATAGTGTATTGATGAGAAAAACCAATTCGGACTCGACAATAATAATAATTAATTTTCAATTCGTAACAACAATATTGTTACGTGATATTATTAAAATAATAACGCTGGACAATACCGTGTCGCCCGACGAACATTAACTCGCTATTAGCCAAACTTTTGAGTTACAATGATTATTTATTAATGAATCGATAACAGCGGTGCGTGAGCTGTGATTATCCTTCGAACACGATCGGTCTATTAAATTTTTAGTGAACCATTAACGAATAAAATATGAACAATATTATTATTATTATTATTATTTCCGTTGAAGTAAAAATAGTGAGACGGTGGGCACGTGGCAACACGACGATAATCGCACGTAATATTATTATTATCGTCGCGAAATTTTACGGGGAGGTCGGTCGCGCGTGGCTGCGACGGCGAGCCGCTGAGGCGTCGTCGTCGTCGACGCGATGGTGGCGGCGGCGGCGATGGCGGTGGCGGTGGTGGCGGCGCTGGCGGAGGTGGCGGAGGTGGCTATCGTTTCGTGTCCGTTCGTGCGCGGTCGACGGCGACGGTGCGCGTGTGTGTGCGCCGGCCGTCACCGTGGAGCGGAGCGCCGGACGTCACGAGTGCGCCAGGTATAGGTCGGCGACGTGATCGCGGAGCTCTCCGGCCAGCCAGTGGCGGTCCGGACGTTCGTCGTGTGTCATCTTCACGAATGTAAACGTCCCGCGCAACGATCACGTGTCTCACGATCGAGTTTATAAACGCCGAGCGCGATCAACACGCGCCCGCGAGTTTTTTTTTTCATACAAAAATATTATATGATATTAATATTATTACCACCGTTGTCGTTCGTATTTTATATCGTTCTTTTTTTTTTTCATTTATACTTACGCACACGCGCCGTGATATTCCGTCGCCGAAGTACCTATACGTAAACGCGGACACACGCGCACACGATAATTCGTTTTTATAGTATCATTATTAAACGTATTGTTATCATGACGATTTTTTACTCGATCGCGGTGTAAAATCGGATTCGTGTGCGGTCTATCGTTCGCTGTGAATTTTTTTTTCTCCTCTCGAGTATAAAATATAATATCACATGTTATACGATCCGAGATTAATGCTTGACGCGTTGTGACTTACCATAGTATTCTCGACGATGTACGGCGGCCGTCGTGAAGTTTTGTCCGTGTATTCTCGAAAATCGCACGTTTTCTGCTGTCTTCGGATTCGTGTTGTCAATAAATAACAGAAAAAGAAAACCCAGGTTTCAGCAGGTTAGAATCGTTTTTATCGTTAATAATATATTGTTGAGGGTATTATCATAATGGTCGTCGTCGCTCCGACGTAGGTCGTTTTCGCTGTGAGCAGATTTACCGGTGTTTTAACGTGCGCACTTTATCGTATATAATAATATAATATTCATCTCGGTGTTACTATTATTATTATAATAATAATATTTATGAGGTATTTTTTTTTTATCACTGGCGTTGTTATTAATTTTTTTTTTGAGTATCGAAAACATTTACGCCCCACATTCCGATGGTCGCGGCGAATGTGACTTAAATAGCGCGTGTGTGTACATTTAGGCATATTTCATTATTTGATTACTCATCGAAAAAATGTTTAAACTTTACGATTGATATTACGGTTAAGACGTTTTTTCGTTCCTCGAGACACTTTAATAACACGTTGATTTTTGAAATAATACCGACCTATGTAATTATCGAACTAGAACAGTAGTGTATGTGTGTGATGTGTCGAACGCGAGGACTTCAATTAAATTTCGACTTAAAACTAATAAATCAAGTTCAGAGGAAAACCGGTGATTATTGTAATAAGAAACCCATTAGTGACCAATGAATTCGAAAAATCGATTCTGTCTATATGGTAATACAAGGCCGTAGGTCTATCGTGTTTTCGGTGTGGTCAAAATTCTTTGGTATAAGTAGTTGTATGCATAAGTGTCGTCGTCGTTGTCCTAATCGTGTTTTAATTACGGGCGTGCAGAATTGCCTGGATAAAGCGATGACTGAAAATAAGACATTAATTTGTTTAAATGGCACATCCGGTAGAAAATGCGTTTGTGCAAAAATATAGTTACCCCTCCATGCTAGGTTAAACACACCCGCGTATGTTGTGAATTTCGCCCGACTGATGAAATTCTATTCCGGATTTAAATTTCACAAGGCAAATAATTTAGTAATAATAATAATTTATTGTCAAAAAAAAAAGTAATTGACATAAATTTAAAAAATTATAAATAATAATTGTATTAAAATATTTTTCCTGTTGACTTATTTCAAAATGTTTGTTATTTAAGTTATTTTTACAATGTAGTTATGCAATGGTAGGTAATTGAAAATTTATAAATATACAAAATGATCCGAATCATAAGATGAGATTGTCATTGACGTGTAAACTTGAAAGCTTATAAAATAAAACTCGAATAAAATTATTCGACATATACTTACAAATTCCCTATACGGTTATACCTATAATTTATAAATGAATCGTATAATAGTAGTTATGCTTATATATTAGGTATGTTTATTAAACAAATCGTTTACGGCCGACGTCAAGTTTAATAGCGCCGGACACTGTTTTACGATCAACATTTATTATTTTATAATTTTTATTATCTAGAAGAGAATGTTTTTTTTTATTGACGTCCCCCGGGAAAAATAAAATCGACATGTTATGAAAAATATTACATTACTGTTTTATATATATACATATAATGTAATGTAAGTAAAAAAAAATTAGTTCTAGTGAAAAAAAATTACACAAGAAAATCCAGTCCTCATCTAAATTTAAATAATTAACCTGAGCCTACAGGAAATTAATACAAAATAAAATTGTCGTTAAATAATACATAGGTACACAAAGGCTGAATATTCAAATATATTGCTTATAATACTATGCGAAATGGGGGAGGTGAACTAAACGTGCGTGTGCTAGACGGGTTCAAATGTTGAATATTTTTCAAGGATAAATAATTAATGATTGCCAAGGATGTACTGATGACCTTTGAACAGATTTGGTGGGTGAATTATAAAGAAAAAAAGGTGCATCCTGCCATTGTGTCGCGCAAAGCTGTTACGTATTCATTATCAAAAAAATTCATAATTTTTAAATATTGTTTACCAGACAGTTAGTTTTTATTTTGTTTTTTTTATAAATTCCAATATGATATTTCCGTTCATAAATGAAACATACAGGTTAATCAAATAAAAACTCTTGCTCCCTGTATTAATTTTATAAGTTATTTATGTTATTATATAGGAATAGCTGATGTATTATTTTATTTTAATGTAAACCTACCTCCCGTAACTGCATATTTCAGGATTCGAGTGTCAACATTAATAACTGTATAGTCATCGTCAAAAATATCAATTAAATTAAAACAATAATTTAAAAAATGTATTATTATCTTTTATTGTTATAGGTACACCTTGAAAATATGACACTTTAGTTTTAGGTTTAAGTTTAAACGTTTATAAATATTATACACCGCGTAGGATTAAAATTGTTTTGAAGTATTAAAGAAAAATAACTCACAAGTCCTGTTGTATGTATAATGTAGGTCATGTTACTTAAGAAAACAATCGTATTTTTTATTATTATGTACAAATGTCCGCTCGTCTTTTAACGTGACAAAACTCGTGAGCGCATATATAATATTTAAAATAAAATTCAGGAATTATGGTTTTAATATTGGTTAATTTATCGGAGTAAATACAAAACGGATTTGTGCCAGAGACCCGTCATCGCTATCGCTGTATCCTATATACATTTACTGTGTGTTACGTGTACCTATGATCGTAGTATTTCGTTTTATTACAATTTTGTATATCACAAAAACAAAAAGCGATGTTGGCATTTTTTGATGATTCTTTTTGGTTTAATTCTAACGGTTTTCATTGCCCATAATACTTAACGTGTTTGTGAAATACATTGGGCGATCTCAAAAAAATAAAATAATAATTGTAAGACGCATGATGACAGTCCACGATAGCTTTTGCATACCTATTATTAATTTTAAATTTTAATTATTATTATTATTATCATCATTCATTATCGACATTCTAGATTACTGTACAGAGGTTCTCATTTTATGTTTGATGCCGTCATACCATCTCAAATGTTGCCTAATCCGTATATTCACTGTCCGGTGGTCTGGAGTAAAGGGTTGTTCGAGGTCCTGGGTTTTTGGTACGTGCTGCGCGAGTGGGTCGGCTTTAGTTCTTTTGGGCCCAAGCGACCAATAGTAGTTTAGCACGTGCGGTTTATTCTTCCTTATTGCACATCACGGACGTTGACACGTACCGCGTTTTTATATACAAACACTGCACACACAATACGACTCGTCGCCGACGGAGGGCGTAAGTATTTGGTTCGTGCGAAGGGGTGTAAAACTCTTCGTCCGAGTACCGCTGAGGGATGAGAGAAGACGATAATATGATTGTACTAATAATAATAATAATAATAATGTATACACCTACGGTGGTTGACGTGCCTGTTAAGGTGTATATATTAAATATTTATAGTAAACGTACGAGGGCTTTGTGATTGCCTAACGCGCGTGTTACGAAACTAACTATACTACGCGATATACCCACAGTGCTGATACCCTCTTTTTTTGAATTTGGTTATGCGCTATTGTATATCATAAATTATTACGTATCACGGGGACTCGTTAGATAGGATTTTTGATTTTTCTGCTGCAATAACTTATTTAAGTGTAACTCACATTCGAAACATTTTAATACAATAATATGAGGTATTAATATATTGTGTCGATATACTGCGATTGGTGTAATTAATGTATTCGATTGTAGGAGTAATAAATAAGCCGCGGCACTTGGTTTTCGCGTTAGTTAGGTAATTTAATTTCAAAAATCAAATCGATCACATCATCCCCCGCCGTAGTCTTTATTACTGTAAGCATCCCGCAGTGCATGCGTGTCGTTGTGTCGGGTAATATTGCGAGACGTAAGTCGTCGCTGTCGGTTATTATGTTGTATTTTGACCAGAGTCCGAAAGTACTGCTCTAGAAAACAGTAGCGTAGGAGTATATATATGAGTATATAGTCGCGCGAGGGGGGGCCCACGCGCCGTCCTCTGTTTAGGACGCGACCTACGCGCGAAACGCTCCCACAATTTACGCCCACTTACGCCCACACATTGACAACAATAATAATATAATAATGCTTAAATTTGAAATAATTGTTGTCTCTGTAATTTGCATATGTATACACGTTCGCGAAAATCGGCCTGTCGTGTACTCGTGTGCATTATGTGTCGCAGTTAGTTTTGATACTGCAATACATATCTTGTGTCATCACGTCGATGAGAAATATTCGATAAAGAATTCATCGAATTTGGTAGGATTAGCAAGCTTCCGAATGAATTTTTGTTTGAACAGTTATTTGAGTGATTGATGGTGAGTTGCTAGCGCCAGAGATGCTGTGAAAAGGAAAACTGCGAAATTGGGCGTACCTACATGTAATAGTAAAAATACCACCCGTTACTTACTCTATTATTATTACGATGTCGTCCTAAAACCGTATTGATTCTTATTTGTGTGATAGGGTGGTTTAAATTGGAGTAACAGGGGTTGATGTCAAAGTGGTGGTGGCGGCGGTAGTTGCGGTCGATGGCCTCGGCGTGATATTCGGCGTGCGTGTGTATAGAAATCGAAATAACGTCGCGATTCACGGTCATCGGAAAACACGAAAGCGGTAGCGGATCGGGTGGTTAACCTGTTGGCTCGGAGAGCAGTGCCCGTGTAGCAACATAGCAACAGGTAGCACATATATACACATAGACACGATTGCGCGCGCGCTTTCCTCTCTACCGCTCCTGCCATGTTTTTGCGAAAACTACCCTTGTCGTTGTATGCTTTTACGTCCGCTTGTAGCGTATTTTATCGATTACTTTACTATATTGGCCGCGGTAGTTCTGACACAGAACACACTCGATCGACCCAATGTCAAGGACGACCATCCGTCTTTCCCCGTGTCGTGATATATGTATAATACGCCGTGTATAATATATTACTATATACACACCTACGTCCCGCAGTTCATATGGCGCCTCGTAAGTCCGTTCGATTTCATATTTTCTCCCGTTACCACCCCGTCGCCGCGGCATTTATAATAAAATATAAGTAGTATTTTTGTTATCCATGTAACGCTCACTATATAGTACACTATAGTAAACACTATACGCATAAATACATCATCTCGTAAATCATGCACTCTGTAACATGATA